CATGAGATGATTAAAAAAACCAACCAAATAAGACAAATATAAAAGTGCATTATTTATAGAAACTAAAAAAACAACAACAAAATAACAACGACTAGACTAGCAACAACAAACAACTTTTTTAATCGCAATGTTTATTTTATAAACACTTACATTTTATTTAGAATAGATCTAAATCTAGATCTAGATCTACATTTATTTAGCATTATAGCACCATTTAGGGGGTGACACCAAAGCAAAATATAGCAAAATATATATAGAAAATAATGATTATTCCAGTTAAATAAATGATTAATTAGAGTTAAAAAGTGTTTTAATTAAGAGCAAAATTAACAAATCCCGACAAGAGGGGGGAGGGGGTCACACCATGACGTAAACCTGCTAACGATAGAGAAAACATCCAGCTGTATTTATAACCGATTATAGATGAACATCGTATATCTGTGCACAGTTTAAAGCCATTAACCGAGGTGCAGAGGCGTAGCGGCCCCTTCCGGCGCCCGGGCACAAACTTTCAATTGGGCGCCTCCCCCCCCCCCCCCATATATTTTTCATATATTTATAATTGAAAATAGTAGCTAAAATGAGCTAATTTTGGCGCCCCTAAGGTCGGCGCCCGGGGACATAGGTATCCCCCCTGAAACCAACTAAACGTTGCAAAATTTTCTGAGAAAAAGGTTTTGTTGAGAATAGTAATAACTAATTCGTCAATTCACGTCTGGGGAAGGGGGGGGGGGGGGGGGAAAGGGGTGACACCCGACCTAGCGACGCCACTGAGCGTAAGCATAAGTTCTTTTAAAAATGTATGCTATCAAGATACACGTTTTGTCTTTCATAATTATTGTTATTTATGGCACTGACGCTGTTTACAGTGTTAGAATTTATGTCGGTGGCCCCGCGACGCTTCTGGCACATGGACTCACCGAGGGGTGTTCTTACATCTCCGATTTAAAGCAGAGTTTCACCCCCCCCCCCCCTCCCCAAGAAAGTCTACCGCCCCCCCCCCCCCCCCAGCCGAACGACAAGGAATTTTTATAAAAAAACATACTTTTACCAGTGTCCGCCCCCGCCCCCCCCCCCCCCGAAAATGTTGACCCCCCCTCCCCCAAAAATATCAAGTGCCCCCCGGAGAAAAAAGTCTGGAAGAAACACTGATTTGAAGTATGACTGAAGCAGAGTTTCTTTCACACATCTCTTCGGGGCAAAGTTTCTTTCTGGTATCTCTTCTTGATTTAAATAGAAAATATATTCGCCTCATCCCCGGAAATTTAAGTAACCCCCCCCCCCCCTCCCGAAATTTAAAGTGCCCCTCCCTGAAGTAAAATGTGTAAAACATTCATTCAAGTGCAGTCAGGTTCATTAAGGCTGCGGTTACACTATCCGTCGGCAGACCGAATTTTTCATCTGACGTCAGGTGTTGTCCAATCTGCCGAAGAGGGGTGCGCCCCAGCGGTTAAGTCAAGGCATACCCAGAAGACATCCGGTAGTGTGGACAAACCCGCGCCACAACAAATAAGATCAATAAGTTTAGTTTATTTATTCAATTTATTCATTAACGGTAACAACGGTAGAAATGTAGTGCCGTGTTTATATTTAAATAACACCAGTTCTACTTCTTATCAACAACTAAAAGAATTTAAATTTTGTACACATTTAAAATCAAAATTTAATGTTTGTTTTAATTGTATTGTTCTAATTTTAATTTTTAAAAATTAACAAACGGGTTTCGCTTCTGTTGTTGGATTAATTTAAAAAAAAAAAAAGAACATAAAAGGCTGGTCTAAACAAATTAGCGCTTGCTACAAACCACCCTCTAATTCAGATCAGGCATATTTTTTTTCTGACATTACTAATCTTTTGTAAAAGGAAAATGCATCTAAATGGGAATTTAATTGGCGTGAAGTTTTAAGGAACGAAAATCATATGCCATAATTATTAAACCTTTTCCGGACTGTCGCACACACGCTTACACACACACACACACACACACACACATATATATATATATATATATATATATATATATATATATATATATATATATATATATATATATATATATATATCAATATTTGTGTGTTTGTGTGTGTGTCTGTTTTTCTTTTATGCAATTCTTTTCATCCAATCGCCATGAAACTTTGGGAAGTTGCTAAGAATGCTCATGGAAAGGTTTCTGCGAAAAAAGTTTTTCAAACTCGCAGGATTGCCCCTCCCCCCCCCCCCCCCCCCCCGGCAGCGCGCTATTCGATTCTTCTCTATATACTGTATATAAAAGTAAAGTCGATAGCGGTTTGACACCGTTCATCCGATCGTCATGAAACCTTCCGGAGTTGACTAAAACACTCCAGGGAAGGTTTGAACACAATAAAAATCATTTTAAATTTTTTTATGGGCGGCGCCCGGGTAATGTATTTTTTGTCAATACACCTTTTGGCGCCCAGAGTTCCCGAGCGGCTATGTTAATCGGGCGTTCTGCATATCGGGTAAGGGGTACTATTATATTCAGCGGCAAAACTGCTAAATGCTATACACTATAGACACGCGTTGATTTAGTCGCTTACTAAATCGAATCAGGCGCATCCTCCGGCTTCTCTGCAGGGTCGGATTTGGCGTCCAGGGCTATCCCGCGAGCACTAAGCGCCTATCTTAGTTTTAAGAAGCACCCTACAATACGACATACGATGATTAAACCGAGCTAGGGGCCGTACGCAGCGCCACTGCGGTAGTGTAATCGGATTCACGAGAGAGCCACTTTCCGTCCTCGACAATTAGGCGGTGAGTGATCATCGGAGATATTACTGTGAGTGATTAACGTACACTGAAGTCTTTCACAAGCACGCCATGGTGGTGGGCGGTAGTGTAGGTAACCAGTGCCTCGATAAATTTGATCCAAACACAGGCATTGTTTACACTTAAATAACTCAGCTTTAGAAAACAAGGAAGTACATTGAAATAGGGAGTAGCTAAATATTCTAATAGAATAGCGAGTGTTTATTGTTTATATTTGTTATTACATCGTTCATTAGCGAGTGCTGCTGACTAATACTTTTATGAGTTTTAAAATAAAACAATTATTCATATTTGTGCACCGGGCTAGAGAGCTGCACCTTGACACCAAAAGAGCCGCATGCGGCTCGCGAGCCGCAGGTTGCCGACCCCTGATTTAGGTTAATAATTTGAAAAATCGTTAAAGCTTCAAGGGAAGACAAAGGGACCAACTGATTTTTTTTTAAAAATCGCTTAAAATCCGAGATACGCCACAATGGCTTTCTTCCAAAATTACTAATCATAGACACATTAAATGAAATCCTTCTATACTTAGATCGCAGCGTCGCGCGACTGGTCAGCAAATTATAAATAATGAGCCGATCCGCGGCATATCATACGCCGCTGTTTAGTTGTTGTTTTTTCTACTTTTCAGTTATTCATAATTTGAGAATTCGACACTACCAACGTTGTCACTGAAAATATTTCTTTAAAACACTTTAAGTATCTCGTTAAAAACGATACCCCCCCCCCCCATCCTTTCCCCCCCCTCCGTTAAAGTAAACTCCACTTAGTTACCCCCCCCCCCCCCTTCCGTTTAGAATCGTTTCAAACTAAATTATCTGCCCCTAATAGGCGTCACTAAACCCGGCTCTGTTTGTAAACATTTAGAGTGAACCACAGCTCACCAGACATTGTAAGGGTGGGGGTGGTAGTGAGCGCGTTTACAGCTTGTTTTCTAGCGTCTCCCAGAAGAGAATTATATATATAGATTTTAAAAATGTTAAAGAAAAATTAATTTGTCATATATTTTGAAGTTGTCCTAAAATAACTTCACATCAATGTAAAATATATAAATGTAGAGCGGTATTTGTAAAATAAAATTTTAAAACGATCTCCACATATTTATTTCATCGACAGGATGGATGGTTTCAAGGGAGAACAGTAGTAAGATATCAAGGGAAGCTAATTTATATTTGTTTAAATAAAAAGTTGGCTGTACTTATTCATTAATGAATACTTCAAATCGAATAAAAATAATTTCTTTTTACTAAAAATTTAAACTTAAATTCAGAAAGCATTACGTTTTATGGAATAAATCTGAATTTAATATTTTAAAACTAATACTTTATTTATATGTATTTAGATCAACCCATAAAAACTACAATTAAATGTTATTTTATATAGATTCCTGATCTTCATGATACTTTATCCCAAAAGGGTGTAGAAATCTATTGTTTGCTTGGGTCCCTTTGAAATGGGGACAGACTCAAATGGTTACGTAACTCACGTTAAGGAAAACAAATTACAGCTTATCTACAGTAACGAAGATTTGCATACAAATGTAATCTTATTTGCTGTGGGTCGTGCAAAAATGACGCCACACACGTAGGGGGGAGTGTAACCGTTACAATCCCCCCCCACGTGTGTGACGAGGAGGGGGGTTCAGATATAAAAAAAGCAATGTCAGAAAACGAAATTTAGCCGTTATTTCGTGGGAATTTAATTGGCGTGAAGTTTTAAGGAACGAAAATCATATGCCATAATTATTAAACCTTTTCTGGACTGTCGCACACACGCTTACACACACACACATATATATATATATATATATATATATATATATATATATATATATATATATATATATATATATATATATAGCAGCTGAAGACACAACAACGCCAATAGCAACTGGGATCGCAACCAGTCATCTCCACCCCACAAAGTCCAACACTGGACACATCTGAATCACCACTCATGACAACGCCAGCAACTGAACAAGATGCAACAGCAACACAGCCAGTAACAAACACGCATGCAGTAACCACATATCTCCACATCACAGAAAGAAACCCCCAGCCCTCAAACCACACAACGACAAACAAGGATACAACCATTCGCAACCAATGGCTTATATGTAAACTAAGCGCCTGCTTGAAAGCATCGTATTACCTCTGGCAGTGACAATTTAGACACAGTAAACTGCTGTATAAAAAAAAAAAAGACTAAGTATCCCATACTGTAGTGATTTATTGTCAATAAATAATGCAGAGAATTCACAGCTCAGATAGACCTAAAGATTTCTGAATTACAGGTTAGCATCTAGAACATTCTATTTTTCATAGGTCAGCATCTAGAACATTTTATTTTTTATAGGTCAGCATCTAGAACATTCTATTTTTTTAGGTCAGCATCTAGAACATTTTATTTTTCATAGGTCAGCATCTAGAACATTTTATTTTTTATAGGTCAGCATCTAGAACATTCTATTTTTCATAGGTCAGCATCTAGAACATCCCTTTGCTCATTTTTCTGTCAGCACCGGCCTTATGATACTGTCCTTTGTGCCTTGTTTTCATTTGTCTGTTGCGTAATACTTCTTCAGACTGGCCTTGGCCTGATAAAAAAAGGTTAGAAAAGTGTTGCTGCTTGGTTGATTGTAAAATAGTAGTAAAGATATAGAAGTACGTGATCAACCATAATGAGAATAAATGGTACATATAAGTGATGTAACAATTTAAACCAGATCGTCCTAGGGGTATGGTAGATCAAGTAGAGTTCATCTATTTCTTTGATCTCAGCATATGATAGGATTGCGTGATCAAATCTATGCCAGTTGCCTTTACCTTCTGTGATTTCTGTTAGAGGCCAATCTTGATAAACTGAGAGACACAGTTCCGACTGTAGCCAGTACAGCATTATGTAGGGACTGTGTAGCCAGTACAGCATTATGTAGGGACTGTGTTACAGCATTATGTAGGGACTGTGTTACAGCATTATGTAGGGACTGTGTAACCAGTACAGCATTATGTAGGGACTGTGTAACCAGTACAGCAGTATGTAGGGACTGTGTAGCCAGTACAGCATTATGTAGGGACTGTGTAGCCAGTACAGCATTATGTAGGGACTGTGTAGCCAGTACAGCATTATGTAGGGACTGTGTTACAGCATTATGTAGGGACTGTGTAGCCAGTACAGCATTATGTAGGGACTGTGTAACCAGTACAGCATTATGTAGGGACTGTGTAGCCAGTACAGCATTATGTAGGGACTGTGTAACCAGTACAGCATTATGTAGGGACTGTGTAGCCAGTACAGCATTATGTAGGGACTGTGTAGCCAGTACAGCATTATGTAGGGACTGTGTAGCCAGTACAGCATTATGTAGGGACTGTGTAACCAGTACAGCATTATGTAGGGACAGTGTAGCCAGTACAGCATATGTAGGGACTGTGTAGCCAGTACAGCATTATGTAGGGACTGTGTTACAGCATTATGTAGGGACTGTGTAGCCAGTACAGTATATGTAGGGACTGTGTAACCAGTACAGCATTATGTAGGGACTGTGTTACAGCATTATGTAGGGACTGTGTAGCCAGTACAGCATTATGTAGGGACTGTGCAGCCAGTACAGCATATGTAGGGACTGTGTAACCAGTACAGCATTATGTAGGGACTGTGTTACAGCATTATGTAGGGACTGTGTAACCAGTACAGCATTATGTAGGGACTGTGTAGCCAGTACAGCATTATGTAGGGACTGTGTAGCCAGTACAGTATATGTAGGGACTGTGTAACCAGTACAGCATTATGTAGGGACTGTGTAACCAGTGCAGCATTATGTAGGGACTGTGTAGCCAGTACAGCATTATGTAGGGACTGTGTTACAGCATTATGTAGGGGCTGTAGCCAGTACAGCATTATGTAGGGACTATGCAGCCAGTACAGCATTATGTAGGGACTGTGTAACCAGTACAGCATTATGTAGGGACTGTGTAGCCAGTACAGCATTATGTAGGGACTGTGTAGCCAGTACAGCATTATGTAGGGACTGTGTAGCCAGTACAGAATTATGTAGGGACTGTGTTACAGCATTATGTAGGGACTGTGTAGCCAGTACAGCATATGTAGGGACTGTGTAGCCAGTACAGCATATGTAGGGACTGTGTAACCAGTACAGCATTATGTAGGGACTGTGTAGCCAGTACAGCATATGTAGGGACTGTGTAGCCAGTACAGCATATGTAGGGACTGTGTTACAGCATATGTAGGGACTGTGTTACAGCATTATGTAGGGACTGTGTTACAGCATATGTAGGGACTGTGTTACAGCATTATGTAGGGACTGTGTTACAGCATTATGTAGGGACTGTGTAGCCAGTACAGCATTATGTAGGGACTGTGTTACAGCATTATGTAAGGACTGTGTAGCCAGTACAGCATTATGTAGGGACTGTGTAGCCAGTACAGCATTATGTAGGGACTGTGTAACCAGTACAGCATTATGTAGGGACTGTGTAGCCAGTACAGCATTATGTAGGGACTGTGTAGCCAGTACAGCATTATGTAGGGACTGTGTAACCAGTACAGCATTATGTAGGGACTGTGTAGCCAGTACAGCATTATGTAGGGACTGTGTAGCCAGTACAGCATTATGTAGGGACTGTGCAGCCAGTACAGCATTATGTAGGGACTGTGTAACCAGTACAGCATTATGTAGGGACTGTGTAACCAGTACAGCATTATGTAGGGACTGTGTAGCCAGTACAGCATTATGTAGGGACTGTGTAACCAGTACAGCATTATGTAGGGACTGTGTAGCCAGTACAGCATTATGTAGGGACTGTGTAACCAGTACAGCATTATGTAGGGACTGTGTAGCCAGTACAGCATTATGTAGGGACTGTGTAGCCAGTACAGCATTATGTAGGGACTGTGTTACAGCATTATGTGGGGACTGTGTAACCAGTACAGCATTATGTAGGGACTGTGTAGCCAGTACAGCATTATGTAGGGACTGTGTAGCCAGTACAGCATTATGTAGGGACTGTGTAGCCAGTACAGCATTATGTAGGAACTGTGTAGCCAGTACAGCATTATGTAGGGACTGTGTAGCCAGTACAGCATTATGTAGGGACTGTGTAGCCAGTACAGCATTATGTAGGGACTGTGTTACAGCATTATGTAGGAACTGTGTAGCCAGTACAGCATTATGTAGGGACTGTGTAGCCAGTACAGCATTATGTAGGGACTGTGTAGCCAGTACAGCATTATGTAGGGACTGTGTAGCCAGTACAGCATTATGTAGGGACTGTGTTACAGCATTATGTAGGAACTGTGTAGCCAGTACAGCATTATGTAGGAACTGTGTAGCCAGTACAGCATTATGTAGGGACTGTGTAGCCAGTACAGCATTATGTAGGGACTGTGTAGCCAGTACAGCATTATGTAGGGACTGTGTTACAGCATTATGTAGGAACTGTGTAGCCAGTACAGCATTATGTAGGAACTGTGTAGCCAGTACAGCATTATGTAGGGACTGTGTAGCCAGTACAGCATTATGTAGGGACTGTGTAGCCAGTACAGCATTATGTAGGGACTGTGTTACAGCATTATGTAGGAACTGTGTAGCCAGTACAGCATTATATAGGGACTGTGTTACAGCATTATGTAGGGACTGTGTAGCCAGTACAGCATTATGTAGGGACTGTGTAGCCAGTACAGCATTATGTAGGGACTGTGTTACAGCATTATGTAGGGACTGTGTAGCCAGTACAGCATTATGTAGGGACTGTGTAGCCAGTACAGCATTATGTAGGGACTGTGTTACAGCATTATGTAGGGACTGTGTAGCCAGTACAGCATTATGTAGGGACTGTGTTACAGCATTATGTAGGGACTGTGTAGCCAGTACAGCATTATGTAGGGACTGTGTAGCCAGTACAGCATTATGTAGGGACTGTGTTACAGCATTATGTAGGGACTGTGTAGCCAGTACAGCATTATGTAGGGACTGTGTTACAGCATTATGTAGGGACTGTGTTACAGCATTATGTAGGGACTGTGTAGCCAGTACAGCATTATGTAGGGACTGTGTAGCCAGTACAGCATTATGTAGGGACTGTGTTACAGCATTATGTAGGAACTGTGTAGCCAGTACAGCATTATGTAGGAACTGTGTAGCCAGTACAGCATTATGTAGGGACTGTGTAGCCAGTACAGCATTATGTAGGGACTGTGTAGCCAGTACAGCATTATGTAGGGACTGTGTTACAGCATTATGTAGGAACTGTGTAGCCAGTACAGCATTATATAGGGACTGTGTTACAGCATTATGTAGGGACTGTGTAGCCAGTACAGCATTATGTAGGGACTGTGTAGCCAGTACAGCATTATGTAGGGACTGTGTTACAGCATTATGTAGGGACTGTGTAGCCAGTACAGCATTATGTAGGGACTGTGTAGCCAGTACAGCATTATGTAGGGACTGTGTTACAGCATTATGTAGGGACTGTGTAGCCAGTACAGCATTATGTAGGGACTGTGTTACAGCATTATGTAGGGACTGTGTAGCCAGTACAGCATTATGTAGGGACTGTGTAGCCAGTACAGCATTATGTAGGGACTGTGTTACAGCATTATGTAGGGACTGTGTAGCCAGTACAGCATTATGTAGGGACTGTGTTACAGCATTATGTAGGGACTGTGTTACAGCATTATGTAGGGACTGTGTAGCCAGTACAGCATTATGTAGGGACTGTGTAGCCAGTACAGCATATGTAGGGACTGTGTAACCAGTACAGCATTATGTAGGGACTGTGTAACCAGTACAGCATTATGTAGGGACTGTGTAACCAGTACAGCATTATGTAGGGACTGTGTAACCAGTACAGCATTATGTAGGGACTGTGTTACAGCATTATGTAGGGACTGTGTAACCATTACAGCATTATGTAGGGACTGTGTAGCCAGTACAGCATTATGTAGGGACTGTGTAACCAGTACAGCATTATGTAGGGACTGTGTAATCAGTACAGCATTATATAGGGACTGTGCAGCCAGTACAGCATTATGTAGGGACTGTGTAACCAGTACAGCATTATGTAGGGACTGTGCAGCCAGTACAGCATTATGTAGGGACTGTGCAGCCAGTACAGCATTATGTAGGGACTGTGTTACAGCATTATGTAGGAATTGTGTAACCAGTACAGCATTATGTAGGGACTGTGTAGCCAGTACAGCATTATGTAGGGACTGTGCAGCCAGTACAGCATTATGTAGGGACTGTGCAGCCAGTACAGCATTATGTAGGGACTGTGTTACAGCATTATGTAGGAACTGTGTAACCAGTACAGCATTATGTAGGGACTGTGTAACCAGTACAGCATTATGTAGGGACTGTGTAGCCAGTACAGCATTATGTAGGGACTGTGTAACCAGTACAGCATTATGTAGGGACTGTGTAACCATTACAGCATTATGTAGGGACTGTGTAGCCAGTACAGCATTATGTAGGGACTGTGTAACCAGTACAGCATTATATAGGGACTGTGCAGCCAGTACAGCATTATGTAGGGACTGTGTAACCAGTACAGCATTATGTAGGGACTGTGTTACAGCATTATGTAGGGACTGTGTAACCAGTACAGCATTATGTAGGGACTGTGTAGCCAGTACAGCATTATGTAGGGACTGTGCAGCCAGTACAGCATTATGTAGGGACTGTGTAACCAGTACAGCATTATGTAGGGACTGTGCAGCCAGTACAGCATTATGTAGGGACTGTGCAGCCAGTACAGCATTATGTAGGGACTGTGCAGCCAGTACAGCATTATGTAGGGACTGTGTAGCCAGTACAGCATTATGTAGGGACTGTGTAACCAGTACAGCATTATGTAGGGACTGTGCAGCCAGTACAGCATTATGTAGGGACTGTGCAGCCAGTACAGCATTATGTAGGGACTGTGCAGCCAGTACAGCATTATGTAGGGACTGTGCAGCCAGTACAGCATTATGTAGGGACTGTGCAGCCAGTACAGCATTATGTAGGGACTGTGTTACAGCATTATGTAGGGACTGTGTTACAGCATTATGTAGGGACTGTGTAGCCAGTACAGCATTATGTAGGGACTGTGAAGCCAGTACAGCATTATGTAGGGACTGTGCAGCCAGTACAGCATTATGTAGGGACTGTGTTACAGCATTATGTAGGGACTGTGTAGCCAGTACAGCATTATGTAGGGACTGTGCAGCCAGTACAGCATTATGTAGGGACTGTGTAACCAGTACAGCATTATGTAGGGACTGTGCAGCCAGTACAGCATTATGTAGGGACTGTGCAGCCAGTACAGCATTATGTAGGGACTGTGTTACAGCATTATGTAGGAACTGTGTAACCAGTACAGCATTATGTAGGGACTGTGTAACCAGTACAGCATTATGTAGGGACTGTGTAACCAGTACAGCATTATGTAGGGACTGTGCAGCCAGTACAGCATTATGTAAGGCTGTGTAACCAGTACAGCATTATGTAGGGACTGTGTAGCCAGTACAGCATTATGTAGGGACTGTGTAGCCAGTACAGCATTATGTAGGGACTGTGTAGCCAGTACAGCATTATGTAGGGACTGTGTAACCAGTACAGCAGTATGTAGGGACTGTGTAGCCAGTACAGCATTATGTAGGGACTGTGTAGCCAGTACAGCATTATGTAGGGACTGTGTAGCCAGTACAGCATTATGTAGGGACTGTGTTACAGCATTATGTAGGGACTGTGTAGCCAGTACAGCATTATGTAGGGACTGTGTAACCAGTACAGCATTATGTAGGGACTGTGTAACCAGTACAGCATTATGTAGGGACTGTGTTACAGCATTATGTAGGGACTGTGTAACCAGTACAGCATTATGTAGGGACTGTGTAACCAGTACAGCATTATGTAGGGACTGTGTTACAGCATTATGTAGGGACTGTGTTACAGCATTATGTAGGGACTGTGTTACAGCATTATGTAGGGACTGTGTAACCAGTACAGCATTATGTAGGGACTGTGTAACCAGTACAGCATTATGTATGGACTGTGTAGCCAGTACAGCATTATGTAGGGACTGTGTAGCCAGTACAGCATTATGTATGGACTGTGTAACCAGTACAGCATTATGTAGGGACTGTGTAACCAGTACAGCATTATGTAGGGACTGTGTAGCCAGTACAGCATTATGTAGGGACTGTGTAGCCAGTACAGCATTATGTAGGGACTGTGTAACCAGTACAGCATTATGTAGGGACTGTGTAACCAGTACAGCATTATGTAGGGACTGTGTAACCAGTACAGCATTATGTAGGGACTGTGTAACCAGTACAGCATATTATGTAGTCAGTGCACAGTGTACAATGTACCCAGCCATAGTTGATGTAAACCATCCATTACACCAGGTTGGACTCATATATCATAGTTCACCTGGTAACTTAAGGGTTAGCAGTTGAATGTGTTAGCACATTTTAACATACATATTCAGCAGTTTAAACAATTCATTTTACCTTTGGCATTTCCAACAACATCACGATTCCTAGGGGCAGCTGGTGCCCCACCCCGCGAATGTCTCCCTCTTGCTGCCTTGGACTGTCTTCTCTGCTCTGCTTGCTCTCTAAGCTTGGCTGGGTCTGCAACAAACTCATCCCTTGCAGGCTGAAAAAAAAAGTTTATTACAGAACATTTTAATACAACAATAACAAAAATATTAAAATCCTGAAATTCTAAAATAAAATTAATCAAAGTAAAGAATCTAGAAGTCTCTTTTATGTATTATTTTGTATAAATTATAAGCCTGAAAACATGTAAATAGAAACTCATTTATTTGTACAAAATAATATTACTGGACTTATTTGTTTACTAAAGCATTTAATGTTACTAGTGTTGGATGGTGCATGGAATCTTAAACCACTGTCTTTTTGTTTACAATGACTGAAAAAAAAAACACTACACATCCATCTATAAAATCAAATAAGCTTTTGTGCAGTAAAATAAAACTAAAAACTAAAACACTACCCTAACCTGATTGGGCTGTCGTTCCTCCTCTCTACCATCATCATCACTGCTTTCATTTAATCTTCCTTCTTCTTTAGCTTTCTTTCTTTCCAACTCCATCAAAACTCTTGGTAGGACCCTATAAAAAACAGTCAATTTTATTGCAAGAGTATTACTATTGATCAAATGGCTTCATTGTTAGTATATAATACATCAATAAAATTAACTCCATTTTTCAGGTTAATTTGATTAGTTTATAACATAGAATTTAAAGTAAAATTTCCTGTTTAGACCTAGTGATCAATTTCACAAATGAAGTAGAGTTCACACGAAGGGATACTATAATCAGCAATATGTTGCCTTTACTTTCCCTAGCCATCCCAATTTTTTAAGCAATTTACTTAATTAGACTTAAAAAAAACAACATGTAGCTCTAGTTTATTTTCAATGAGAAACCGCTAAAATCCCATAAGATCAAAATCTACACCTAACAAAAATTGAAAAGCAACTTTAGTTGGTTAAAGAAGAAAATCACTACTACCATATAAATATAGATTTAATATAATGTTCGAATGTACGTATCATTAATTTAATGTGCAGCTGTCAGGACTAGCATTGGATATGTTAGCACATTTTAACATACGTTTGTTTGGTGCTGGTAACTAAAAGGTTTGTTTGGTGCTGGTAACTAAAAGATCATATTCTTACAATACTCCCATATGGTACCTCTTATCTCAGTAATTAATTAACCCATGGTTTTAGAATATTTTCAAGAATATCTATAACAAACCTTAGGGTTTTTTTAATACTAAATTATCTATAGCGTAAAATGTATAAGTTTACAAACTTGGCATTTGATAGTTCGTCAGCTGAGTCTACATCATCTGCTCCAACTGCGTTGGTGTCATACGTGTCATCATATTCATCCTCGTACATTTGTTGGTTGTCGTACATACTGTCTTGGTCTATGTTACCGTATGCTTCAAATTTTTCCTTTGCAACAGTCACAATGGTTTTATCATCAATGTCAACTTTCTGGTCCCTGGTTAATAATAATGATTTGATGGATTAAAATTATATAATTTTTTTGTTACTAAAAATCAAAATAATCCACTCTAATAAAAAAACCAAGTTTTATTAATAGTGTCATCAACACAAAGAGTGAATATATTTAATAAAATACTGTGTGTATAAAAAAACAATAAATATACAACAGTAATTTTTTTAAGGAAATAAATTGATTATTCATAAACTTGATTGTTTTAGAAACATAATTCAGTTCATTTTTTAAAAATAAATATTGGGATTATTCATCGAACTAAAATGCTGCCTGGGATTATGACTTACTTTTTGCCAACATGAATTTTTGAAAAGTCAACAGCCTTGTTGTGGAAAATATCAAATTCATCATTATCAAAAATATTCCTCCGAGAATCTAAAATGTTGTCAAGGTCCATTTGCCCATCTCCCTGGTTGTCAGTTCTTTCTTGTCTGTAAAAGTGGTAAGGTCAAAGTTCAAAGTTTAACTACAACTTAAACTATATGACTGAAGAATTACTTTCTTTATACATACTGTGGCATGAATAAAATAAAAAGGTCAACGTTTAATGTTTTGCATCTACTTATGCTGAAACTACTCAAACTATTTACATTATAAAACAATAAATATTGTGGCATGTATAAAATAAAACAGGTTGCTTTCAATAAATTAAAAATTATAACTTGTCAATGTTTTTAGTAGACCAATTTAAATTTGCTGATAGTGTTAGTAAACAACACTGACCTTTGTAAGCCTCTGTTAATGCCAGCTAAAGATGGGGGTAGTTTATCTTCTAATATTGAAGAAACAACTTTTTCATGATTCCAGTCAAGCTCCTCTAAGGCCAGCTTAAAGGTACAATTTTAACAAATCCAAATTTTAAAATCAATGGACTTATTAATACATGGTAAATTAAACAATCAAGTAACCAACACAAATTTGTAGAATAATTTTAAAGTTGTAATTGTTTATTTTACATTCTTAACAATCTAAATTAAAAAAATGTATTATGATATAAACATACCTCCATAATCCCTTAAGTAAAGAAATTGTGATAAAAACAGATCTCTATAATTCCTTATGTAAAGAAATTGTGATATCAACATACCTTAATAATCTCTTAACTAAAAAACTGCAATATAAATATACATTTATAAGCCCTACTATAAAGAAATAGCAATTTAAAATATACCTCTATAAATCCTTCTCCAAAATCAGGGAACAAGTCCTTGACACTTGTTATCAATGATTCTAGCTCAGCTTCGTTGGGACGGGGGTGGGCTACAGCCCCTTCTCCCTGGACACATGGAAAAATTTAATTAACTAAATCAATAAAAGAAGGAAGTTGCAATTCTCTGAGATTTCTAAATAAAAAAAAAACAAAGATCACCAAACATGTATGATGTTAATTTTTTCCTGTTTGTGCCCAAAGTACATGATGAAGTAGAGTTCATATAAAACAATGAAATGTGGCCAGGACTATGTCCCGTTGGTTTCCCTAACATGAATCAGGTACCTATTAGAGCTGGATGGACTCAGGGACATTCTACAGACTCTAACCTCAGATTCAAACTCAAGACCTTTGTGCTAGCAGACTTATGCTCTACTATCCAACCATGTTAAAGAAAACGAAAAGCTGAGTTTTTTTTAAAATGGTAACCCAGGCAGATGAGGCTCTGTATGCTGGGGACACTAACCAATCTGGGAGAGAAAACTACAAAATAAAAAAAACCTCCTGCCTTGCTGATTGTTCTTGGGTGGACAAACATAAAGTCTATAGAAGCAAATCCGGAAAAAAAAGCAGACTTAATTCTGAGTCAACTAGTGATACGGCGCATAACATGTTTTACCAAAAAACTTATTCGAGTTTGAGAAAATCTCCTACAATATTACAAAAGAAGAAAGAAAAAGTAATGCTAAATATTCCTCACATAATCCTCTGTCTGGAAGTCCGCTGCGTCCTTGATGTCAGTGTCAACCCACTTGCTGGCCTGAGACATGGCTGCCATGCTCCCCAGGGAGTCAGGTGCTCCGTCTGGGCTGGTGCGACCTCCTGTGTTGGTGTCACCTCTAGGGGACTTCCTGCGTCCATACGTGGCGAAAGCCGAGTTGATAGCAGACTGGATGTAATCAAACTGGGCTGAGTCTCTGGACACAGGTCAAAGAATTGATAACAGATTTTTTTTCAATTTTAATTGAAAAAATATATTTTCTCGTTATATAATTTTGTGTTAAAACTCTTTTCATTTAATATATACATACACAGGGGTGGACTGGCTGTGTCCAAGACGCCGGTGAAAATTTTTAAAAGAGCCCCCAAGCCCAGATTAAAATTTTCATAGTGAATTTTTCCCCATTAAAACCTGATGACGGAGCCCCCAACCCTAGATTAAAATTTTCATAATGAATTTTTCCCCATTAAAACCTGATGACGGAGCCCCCAACCCTAGATTAAAATTTTCATAGTGAATTTTTCCCCATTAAAACCTGATGACGGAGCCCCCAACCCTAGATTAAAATTTTCATAGTGAATTTTTCCCCATTAAAACCTGATGACGGAGCCCCCAACCCTAGATTAAAATTTTCATAGTGAATTTTTCCCCATTAAAACCTGATGACGGAGCCCCCAACCCTAGATTAAAATTTTCATAGTGAATTTTTCCCCATTAAAACCTGATGACGGAGCCCCCAACCCTAGATTAAAGTTTTCATAGTGAATTTTTCCCCATTAAAACCTGATGACCATCCTTAGCTCAATGGAAACGCATGCAGCAAATTGTTTTTTAATCAAAGCACAAATAGGCCTAGTAGTATATCACTCCTGGGGGCCTACTATGATTTTTATACCAGGGGCCCCACTAAGGTTTGTCCCGGTATACTGGCTGGCCAGTCCATCCTGGTACATACAAGTCTATTCAGTTTGACTCTTACTGTTAACAGTTGTTTACTTATAAGTTCTGGCAAACAACTAAAGCAGTGGGTGCTTATAGCTACACTTTCCCCAACACTGATAGGATAGTGAATGATGGATGACATCAAAACAAGGGAGATAATATACCAAAACAATATCAAAACAAGGGAGATAATATACTAAAACAATATCAAAACAAGGGAGATAATATACTAAAACAATTAACAGAAGAAAAAAATTCAGTTCTGGTTTGACATAAACAGAAAATCCTGTCAGCCTTACTAATGTAGGCCAACAAAGCACAATTAAAGTCATCATCAAAAGGATACAGGTTAGAGCTTGAGGTCTGCAGGAGCATGTCCACATCATCCTGGAAGCAGAACATTCCTTCGTAGACTGCTAGGAACTGTCTCTCACCTAAAACAGAGGTCATGGTGTGCAGCAAGTCTTCAGCGCAGCTCCCAACAACATCCTCTTTCCTGATTCAAATAATTTGATTGGCGTTAATCAAAGGAATAAATATTGTTGAGCTATGTCCTTAAAATTTGTAATCATTATTTAATTCTTAACACAATTTCATGAAAATGGGACAGCGTGACCTAGCAGTAGAGCACTAGACTGCTAACTAGAAATTTTTTAGTTTTAAGTCAGTAGAATGTCCCTGGGTACATTCAGCTCTGATGTGGGTACCTAACTCACATTAGGGAAAGTAAAGGCATAGTGCTGAACATACTATCCCTTCATATTTGCAATTTGTTAAATAAAGTAATACTTTTTTCTATTAGTGTTGCATAAAAAAGTTAAAATTTGTATTATATAATTGCGGTCAAGGTAGTTTATGCTACTTTTATACTTCAGAAACTCCAAAGAACAGGTGTTAACACCGTTAAACTTATAAAATAATTCAATGCTTATTAACATTTGACTACCCACACCACATGTTTATAGCTTTTTCAAACAAAATATGTAGGGTTATGGAAAAAAATATCTTATTACTCATTTTAAAGCAAAAATGGATATGACTATGAATTCAAAAAATGGGTTAATTACACAAGCACTTATTTCTGCAAGGTATTGTTTCACTTACCCTCCATTTTCCAAGATAGGTTGAATACAAGTGTGTTGTATAATCAAGCGAAACACAGTAACAAGGGATTTTTTTATCTGACGCACTTTCACTAAGAACTGTTTCTTCAACCTACATCATTTAAAAAAATAATTTTTAGTATATCGCCAACATTTTAAAACCTATACACCACAAATTCTTTTTTTAATTTAATTTAAGCTATTGAGAAATTAAATCACACTTTGAAAGAAATTGTTAATCAACAAGCTATACACTAAAACAAATGTTCAAATTTCCTAAAATTTTTGTAAATAAAAGTGCGTGTTAAACCTACTGATCAGATGAGAAATTATGGACTTTAACAGCAGCTGTCAGCTCTGGTACCATGCACTCATAAAAGTTGGCTAGGCTGGAAATATCAGAAGTAAAATTAAAGCAAAACAAAACGCTATACCATAATTCTAAAAAAATTTAAAATAATTCAGAATCATGTAAATAATCATAACCTAATTTTTGGAATCTATGTGGGTAAAATATTAAATCATTGTCTTCAATTATGACACTGTGTTTAAGCTATTGTATGCAATAATATGTGTATAGAGATGCCACAATTATTAAACAAAACACTTAACTTTTGTTTAGTACTTTCATACAACTATAATATGTGTATAGAGATGCCACAATTATTAAACAATACACTTAACTTTTGTTTAGTACTTTCATACAACTATAATATGTGTATAGAGATGCCACAATTATTAAACAATACACTTAACTTTTGTTTAGTACTTTCATACAACTATAATATGTGTATAGAGATGCCACAATTATTAAACAATACACTTAACTTTTGTTTAGTACTTTCATACAACTATAATATGTGTATAGAGATGCCACAATTATTAAACAATACACTTAACTTTTGTTTAGTACTTTCATATAACTAATTTCAATACAAGAATACTTTCTCATAAAACCGTACACAGAGCAGAAGTTAAACTGGTGGAAAACAGCACAAGCAGGTGGGTAGATGTCAAGGAATCTGTTAAGAGCTACGGCAGTGTCGCTCAGGTACAGAATCACATCCTGCAGGGCGGAGGTGGGCATGGAGGCAAGATGGTTCCCACCTGATGGTCTGTCTAGTTTTTGTGGGCTTGGACCAGGGGAGTCCAGTTGTAGTCCGCACTCTGCTGCGATGTTCCTTAGAACCTGAGATGGTCAAAAAAAGAGACCTAGTTTATATAAAATACCAAGGGACACATTGGCTCTATAGAAGACAAGTGAAATATGTCCACTTAGAAATATAATTATATTTATTTTGGCAATAAAGCAAACTTGAAGATCACAACTGTAAAATGTATTTTAAATTTTTTTTAATACTTATGAAACATTGAAATACTGTTTTTAAATTGGATTGAAAATAAAAAAAATCATTTTTCATGTGATTTAGGTTTTTCTGAAATAATGCATTTGTCCTAATACAGTTGATATATTCATTTACATTCTTAGCTTAACAAACAATTATTTTTGAGGAGCTGTTATACTTTGTTATATTTAAAGCAAGGTTGCAAGAGGTAAAAATTTGCAGCATAAAATGCAATGTCTCCTAACATTTCAAAAGCCATATGAAGCACAGCACGTTTCTTTCTTTGACCTCCACATAGAAAGAATTTGTCTAGTTTGCACTGCCATTCCCATAATTTGAGTCAGATATCTATCAAACTTAAATGTACTAATAACTATGAAAACAAGACTCAGAAATGAATATGAAAATTTTGCTTAGCTATCTTATAACTAATGAGATTACTTGTTTCTGAACTGAGAATACCACAGTACAAGCCTCATAGGTTACAACCCAGAGGCAAAATTAGTTGCTAGAAATTATTGAGTCAGAGTAGAGCAAAGAAAATATATCAAATCTTTTCTGAGCAGTCTTATACTCAAATAGTTACCTGTAAAATAGTAGGTACTGTCTCTCTCAAATCGTCCAAATATTTAGGTTGGTGAGTAAAGATGTTACCAATCATCTTTGACAAGATTTGTCCATTTGTTTGTCCAAATAGGGAGCAGATGTCAATGATTTTGGGAATATCGAAGAGAAAATTTTCATACAGTATTTCTCCAAAGACTTCTGGTGTCAAAGAATGATCCTGAAAACAAAAATAAATAAGTTCAGTGAAAAAGATAAAGAATATAATTTGATAAACATTATTCTAAGGTAAATGATTAATTTATCTTTAAAAAATAGTGGTCAGCTTAAAAAAAAAGTCAACCTTACATTTTTTCCCCCATAAGTCTTGAAGAAGTTTTCATTATGATTGAAATAATTTACATCTTATAATACAACAGAACAGAATTACTTATTTATTTTGATTTAACATTTGAAAAATATTTTTTTATGTACACAAAGTGAACACATACTTAAAATGATAAATTAAAATTAAAGATAGCTTAATATAAAATAAAAAAAAAACAAACTAGCCTTAGATTCTTTGAAAGTTGACATGCGGAGGTATGTCATAAAAACCAGGCGGCAAAGCTCTTGATGTCTATCTTTTACATTTTCAGGTAGACTTGAAACAATATCATGGGACCTTAAGTTGTAGAGAAACATCTTTGTTAGTGATTTAATACATTCATAAATTTTAGCTATACCAAAAATATATTTATGTATAGAAAACAATAAACAAAGATCATGTTATTTCAGCTACACTCTCTTTCACTCTGTAATAAAAATATCAAATTTAACCTTGGACAATATTGTAAAAAGGAATCCAAAGCTTCGTGTAGACTTGCATCATAAACTACCTGGGGAAATGGTTTTCTAATTAAGTCTTTCATATCAAACTTAAGAGGAAAGTGTCCAAAAAACTTAAAAACATACTAACTTAATAACTACATTACACACTAAGACCTATACAACCATCACTAAAATCAAGATTTTAAAAAAAAATCTAGCCCTATTATGTAACTTCAAAATACATCATGTTCAAACACCATGAAATAGACTCAAATATTTTAAAAAAACATGAAAAAGATCTTTCACTCTATATTATAACATGAAGAATATTTTATAAAATCTATTAATTGCAAAAGGATGGACATTTTTTCCAGAATCTTTTTCTAAACAGAACCTGAGAGTGGAAATATTTTAAAGTTAATGGGGATGGATGGTAGCTTCAGTTGTAGAAAACTATTCTCAACAGAACTAACAGTGAGAATAATAATCTAACATCAAATATTACTCTTACCCTAAAAAAAAATTGCATATATAACAAATAACACCACAAGTACAGTAAGTTTTTAAAAGTAGAGCTATTGGATTTATAATTCTTAAAATGATTAGAAAATTCTTTAAAGTTTCAGTCTTTTTTTTCTAACCACCAAACAGAAAAAAATCTTTAAAAATGTAAGTGTAGTTAAATAATACTAGAATTAAGACTGGTATTGATATAAATACTTTCAGCAAGTACACCACAATATCCTTATTTATGGGAGATGTCTATTGTCTTAATGTTTTAAGTAGACTAACCTGGCACCAAAACTTTTCATGCGGAAGTTGCAGCAGCCAATGTAAGTCATCAGACAGATAATTAACACGCTCTAGCCAGGCATCGTAATCAGCACGGTCCACATTTAATGGAGGTGGCGTGTACTTCACAAATATCATTTTCTCAGCCCGACTAGGATGCTGAAATCAAGATAAAACTTAGCTTGAGAATGGGTAGGACAAAATTTACCAAAAGACTAATCACTCTGGAAGATTAGGCTTATATCCCAGACAAAATAGGCATTATTACACTGTAATATTGAATTTCAGATTTATTGGGTCATCCATATGATAAATAATGTTACACTCCTGGTGGAAAGGATTTCAGACTTGAATTTCTAAAAAAATCATTTAAAATGAGTAGTGGAGGAGGGCCAGGTTATGATGTCATTTCAAGGTAGGCTCTACGTACTAAGGAGAATCTCTACTGCTGTTCACCAAAGTTGATTTTGTCCCTCTCCTCTGTTGAGAGCTGCTACAAATGATAACCTGCTAATGAGCCACACACTCTAGTCTAATATAGGCCTATTAACTATTACGAGCTGACCCGCTGCATAAGCATATGCCGCTATTTAGTTGTCTTATTTTCTACTTTTCAGGAATTCATTATTTGTGAATTCAACACTACCAATGCTTCGACTCAAAACATTTTGCTTTAAAACACTATCAGTAGCTCGAGAAGGACGATTATCCTCCTCCCCCCCTACCCCCCGTGAAAGCAGCCGTCCATGACGACAGTTTACTGTCGACAATGTAAAGATCAAGCAGAACGTGTAATTACCTCCCTTTAGTTTCAAATAGTTTAAAAACTAAATTATCTGCCCATAATGACTGTACTAATTCGACCCAGTTCTACGATTGTAAATATTGGACGTGAACCACAGCTCACCAGTCTGACTGGTGGGGGTGGTAGCTAGTAAGCTAGATCTATATGCTTAGAGAGGGGGGAGTAGCGGCATGCGTTTACATATGGTGTTTCACATAGTCCCCATATATAGATTATTATTGCTATTGAACAGATATATAGATATTAATAAATAAGTAATAGGCTAATTATTAGTGAGATATAGTAGGCAAGGGCGGCTAAGACCCTAAATATTAATTTGCCTGCCTAAACTCAGACTAATTTTCACTAAACTGGCCCTAAAACTAAAAAAGGCTTTAGGAGTCTAGTTACTCTAGACGTCTCTAGTCTAAGTCTAGCTAGCGGCTTATTCTAGATTAATCTAGAATCTACATGTAACATTAGATTTTAGATGAATAGAGTTAGACGTTAGAGTTAGATCTAGAGAGTGGGTAGATTTGGCAGCGGGCCTGGCCTAGTCATTCTCATTCATTAGAGGCCTATAATTTTTTTTTTACATACTAAACTAGGTAACGTTGACATGTTGTCTTGATCCGCTGTGAGTCAATACTCTCTAGAAGTCCACTTCTAGATAATCTTTATGTCAATATTCTAAATTGTTTAGAAGAATAGGGATGACGACTAGGCCTAATGACTAAGCTCAACAACTTTACAAATTAGAATAGTTTGTGATCATCGCGTTTTTAGACTTTCCTGGTAACCATAACTTCCGAAAACAGATTTTTACTTTCTCGTATATACGAAGTATAGAGAAAGTATTGTAATCGTGCAAAAAAAAAAAAAAATCGAGATTTTTACAGATCTCGACGTTTTACACCTCACTGATACGGAAAAACATAATTTTGCAATCTTGTCCGTCTGTCTGTGTGTGTGTGTGTCTGTGTGTGTGTGTGTCTGTGTGTCTGTGTGTCTGTGTGTCTGTGTGTCCGTGTGTAAACACGATAACTTGAGTACCGTTACAGCTAGGTTGATAAAATTTCATATATAAGTATTATATCAAAATCGTAGATCCGTATCAACTTTTGAGCGATTTCCGATAACCGGAAGTGGTACTTTTCCTACTTTGAATTTTTCAAAAGCCTATAACTTGAGTACTATTTCAGATAGATACATGAAATTTCACATGTAAGTAAAAGATCTAATTCTCTACCTTCTGTTAAATTTTGAGTAATTTCCGTTGACTGGAAGTAGTAATTTACGCTACTTCCGATTTCTCAAAACTAATGTAAATTTTAAAAGTAACTAGAATACCCGTCATCCGTTGGATAACTGTGGGTTTCGGGGGTCATCCATCAAAAAACATCACGTCTGTCACTCAGAGGCATAGCGACCCTTCCCGGCGCCCGGGGACAAAGTTTTCGATTTGAACCCCCCCCCCCCTCAAACTTTTGATGTGCACCCCCCCCCCCCCCTCAAACTTTCGATTTGAACCCCCCTCAACCTATCAATTTATTTTTCCAAACCATTTTGGCGCCCCAACATATGTCCCCCCCCCTTCCCCCCTCCACCTCCCCACCCCCCGCCTCCCCTTCCCCCCCCCCCCCGCCTCCCCTCCCCACCCCCCGCCTCCCCTCCCCTACCGTCCCCCCCCCCCTCCTCGGTACGCTACTGCAGTGTCACTTATCGTCACAAAAAACAGACCCCACATTCAAATATATGTTTTTTATCTTTTAAAAACACCGAAAACACCGTTTTCGGACTATCCCTTTATAAACTGACGTCACAGGTGACCTACTCAACTCTACTTCACCTGCCCAGTGTCCTGCCAAGTCTCAGACAACATGTTTTTATCGTTTAAAAAACAATTCCAGCCGAGCATGTATCTGACCACACTATCCTTTCATATGCTTAGGACAAAGAAACAGATGAACTCTACTTCACCTGCCCTGTATCTTGCCAAGTTCAGATAGGCAACGTAATCATTCACATCTAAAAAAAAAAAATTGAAAAAAAAAATTTCATTGACATATTGGTCTAGAACCCGTGCCTCCTGCATGAGAGCTGACTACGCTACCATTTTAGCTATTTACTCGTGACGTCACAAGTGAATTTTTATACTATACTATGTGTCTCCTTATGCAACTTGATTTACGCGTATAGATTCTAGATCTAGATCTAAAAATAAGTCTAGTAGTACTAACTTTCAAATTAAATTTTATCTTAAATAAGCCAAACAAAGATTTATATAAAATAATTAAGGCCTGAAATAGATTCTAGATGTAGAATTTACATTGAATCTAGTGACCTACATCTAGGCTAGATCTAGATCTAGATCTAGATCTAGGCTAGATTCATAAATTTCCTTCGATAGCTGATCTTTAGATCTAGAGAAATTTATCGTAAAACTAAATGAAAAAGACAGTTGAAAATTGATATAAGTGTTGGAACGTAATAAATACAGCAAACGGACGTATTGTTTAAGTTATAGCCAGCAGAAAATTAGCTTTGTAACGCGTTAAACTTTTGAATGGGCCACAAAGTCTATGATGGGGTCCGCCATTTTTATTGTACCAAAAATGTAAACACATCAAGGGACGTCACTATCCCCACAAAGTTTATTCAAAGTATTAACATTTTTTAAAAAATACGGTTAATTTAACTATGAATAAATCAATAAATTAATTAACGTCTTTAAATAAATTTGTGATCAACAGTCTGTCTGCATTAAAAAATTATTCTCTACCTGCATACTATTTTACAGCTTTCCAGATAGAGTCGAACATATCACAATTTTCAATCAGGCAAACAAACAAATAAATATTCAAACATGTAAACAAAGTTGACTTTTAGTAGTATACTAGAATACCCGTCATCCGTTGGATAACTGTGGGTTTCGGGGGTCATCCATCAAAAAACATCACGCCTGTCACTCAGAGGCATAGCGACCCTTCCCGGCGCCCGGGGACAAAGTTTTCGATTTGAACCCCCCCCCCCTCAAACTTTTGATGTGCACCCCCCCCCCCCACTCAAACTTTCGATTTGAACCCCCCTCAACCTATCAATTTATTTTTCCAAACCATTTTGGCGCCCCAACATATGTCCCCCCCCCCCCCTTCCCCCCTCCACCTCCCCACCCCCCCTTCCCCCCCCCGCCTCCCCTCCCCACCCCCCGCCTCCCCTCCCCACCCCCCGCCTCCCCTCCCCACCCCCCGCCTCCCCTCCCCACCCCCCGCCTCCCCTCCCTTACCGTCCCCCCCCTCCTCGGTACGCTACTGCAGTGTCACTTATCGTCACAAAAAACAGACCCCACATTCAAATATATGTTTTTTTATCTTTTAAAAACACCGAAAACACCGATTTCGGACTATCCCTTCATAAACTGACGTCACAGGTGACCTACTCAACTCTACTTCACCTGCCCAGTGTCCTGCCAAGTCTCAGACAACATGTTTTTATCGTTTAAAAAACAATTCCAGCCGAGCATGTATCTGACCACACTATCCTTTCATATGCTTAGGACAAAGAAACAGATGAACTCTACTTCACCTGCCCTGTATCTTGCCAAGTTCAGATAGGCAACGTTATCATTCACATCTAAAAAAAAAATTGAAAAAAAAAATTTCATTGACATATTGGTCTAGAACCCGTGCCTCCTGCATGAGAGCTGACTACGCTACCATTTTAGCTATTTACTCGTGACGTCACAAGTGAATTTTTATACTATACTATGTGTCTCCTTATGCAACTTGATTTACGCGTATAGATTCTAGATCTAGATCTAAAAATAAGTCTAGTAGTACTAACTTTCAAATTAAATTTTATCTTAAATAAGCCAAACAAAGATTTATATAAAATAATTAAGGCCTGAAATAGATTCTAGATGTAGAATTTACATTGAATCTAGTGACCTACATCTAGGCTAGATCTAGATCTAGGCTAGATTCATAAATTTCCTTCGATAGCTGATCTTTAGATCTAGAGAAATTTATCGTAAAACTAAATGAAAAAGACAGTTGAAAATTGATATAAGTGTTGGAACGTAATAAATACAGCAAACGGACGTATTGTTAAAGTTATGACCGACAGAAAATTAGATTTAGAACGCGTTAAACTTTTGAATGGGAACACAATTTTCTTCAATAGACGCCGCCATTTTATTGTACTAAAGAGTAAACAAAAACCTGTGACGTCACGGTCCCGCCGAGTCTAGTGGCTTTTCAAATATTTTAAAAAAAAATGGGTTATTCTGCGTAGGAATAAATCAATAAATTAATTAACGTCTTTAAATAAATTTGTGATCAACAGTCTGTCTGCATTAAAAAATTATTCTCTACCTGCATACCATTTTACAGCTTTCCAGATAGAGTGGAACATATCACAATTTTCGATCAGGCAAACAAATAAATATTCAAACATGTAAACAAAGTTGACTTTTAGTAGTATATAGATAGATAGATAGATAGATAATAATATTGCGCACTATTATGCGCTTTTTTATTGGGCGTTCACTTGGTGGGTGTGCAATTAATTTTTCTACGAGATTTTATTCTATTTTTAAAACTTTAAGTATTTAAAATGGATTAAAAATCATGTCTATAGCCCGAGTTCCCATCCCCTGTTATTTTATATAAGAATATTCGAGAAAGTTTAGGGGAGATCACTCCCGGTTTATTTACAGAAGTTTTACTTTTTTCAGGATTTTAAATAGAGCCTGACTTTTTATTTTAATTAGGCCTTAGACCTATATTTCTAGAGCGTGATTGTATATTTGTATAATGCAAGCCTATATTGTTTTTAAGAATTAGATCTAGAATCTATGTCTTAGAATTCGAACAATAAAATATTGTTGCGTACTTGCTTTTGTGTCAGGCCTACGTAATATACATTGGATTCTGTAACTCATATTTTATAAGCGCTAGAACTTTGACTAGAATATCTAATTTTAAAATGAGTTCTAGCCTAGAACTAGATCTAGGTTGTAGCTTAGCAAAAGTTATTTTATTTTCTGAACAGTTAGGTTAATAACTAAACATTGGGGTCATCCATAAATGACGTCACGCTTTTTTGGACGATTTTTTACCTCCCCCCCCTCGACTCCGTCACACGTCGTCACAAAAAGCCAGACCCCCCCTAAAATGACGTCACACCTCAACCTACAACCCCCCCCCCCCCTCAAAATTGCAGTTGAATTTTTTTTTAAACATAGATATTTTTCCCAAATCTTGTCTAAACTGTTACAATTTATTAAAACAGTTATCTAAAACGCGAAATAACGTCTATAATTCGTTTTCTAACATTGCTTTTTTATAATGCAAAAATGTGACGTCGCAACATCTGAACCCCCACCCCCCCTCATCACACATCGTCACAAAATTACGGACCCCCCCTCCCCCCTACGAGTGTGACGTCATTTATGGATGACCCCATTTCAACAAAACATTTCACCAAGAGGAAACTACAACATGCATACTTTGACAGAAATAATTTAATTGTTATCTACCTTTGAAATAATTAATGTGCATTAGTAAAAAAACAACAACACATCACCCATAGTAACTAGTCTCTTTTAAAAAAAAAATTCATTACTCCTTTCTCTCTCTCTAACTCTGTCTCTATCTCTCTTCCTCTCTCTCTCTAGATCATCCCTCATTACGCATCTGTTATAAGCTAATATACATTATTCCTGTTCTTGCTAATAATTTCTTTTTAGAAGATTTCCGTA